ATAGTAATCCTTTTGAGCCATTTATTTATCCAACTGCAGATCTTTATAAATCTGGCAAACTATTTAACGGTTCGACAACTATTTGTGCTCTACATAGTTATGAGGCAATACACATTTTTTATAATGATTCAGCATAATAAATGTCGACGTACTCATCTTGCAGTTTATATCAACAAAATGTATTACGTCTCTTGCAAGTAGAGTATTCGTATTTTTATTTTAGGACTATACTTATATAAGAAAATATATAAAGATTTTGCTATTCAAACACACAATATACACCCTCACATAAAACATAAGTGCGTTAAGGCACCTATTTTTTTTGCTAAGTATATAACTCAGTACATAATAAAATTCATGCAAATAATATTTATCAATTAAAACATTATCTACCTAAAAGCATGAAAGAATTTTTAAATTAGTTAATTCGTTTCGGACCTATTAGATGCAAGTAAACAAAGAAATATTATTTTTATGTGAGTAGAAAATCTACGCAAATGAAGGTGCTATTAGTCAAATAAATGTTTAACTCTATTTAAAAAAGTTAGATAATATCTTTGGTATGTTGATAATAATAAATGTGTGGTGTCCAGTGGGTTCGGACGAATTTACTCATTACTTGAAGATCAAGGACGCTTTTTGTTAGGAATCAATGAGACGTCTAGCCAGGCGTGGTCGTTTCTGTTACTATATAAGTCGCGTATACTAATAACACGACATCAATTGTGATAAGTCCACAATACTCTGTAACAATGTTCTTCAAACTGGTAAGTACATATTATAAATGAATATAAAGCTGTACAGAACAACCAAATTGAATTCCCAGAATAAGTTTGATCAGTTTTCAGAATTTATAAAATTAATGTATTTTGAAAACTAGCAGTGAATTATATAGAATAATTTGCTGTGCCCGCGACTTCGTCCGCGAGGAAAGTCGCCATATTTACCCCTTGTGGCATAAGCTGGAACCTGGCTGACACCAGTGGGAGTACCATCAAAATCAGTCCAGCCGTTTCAGAGATTAAACTTCTTTTGTTGTTTCTTTTTTAATCACGTGCACACTCTTGTCCCACATGGCACTAATTCAAATCGCTGACTTCAAATGTAGAGTTGTAACTTTATTCTTTCAATGTTATCGAGCTTTTATTTTCTCTTTCATAGGTATTCTTTATGTTTTTAAGATTCCGTACTCGTATTTACTTTTGCGAAGGTAATAACGAAAATAAATATGTACTTATACTAGGTACTCTTACCAAAGCCAAAGTTTAATGGAAATATTCTTAAATTATTAATGGATACACATATAAAAGTATACCTTTCGTTCGTAGAACTCATAATTACTTCATTGCAAATTGCCGCTGGTATAAGACGTAGGTATGACGTACGTTCGTTCATAATCGTTCGCTAACTTGGTTTATGAAGTTTTACCAAATGTTAAATTAGCAGAATTTTGCATTTGACAAAGACTTTACGTCTTTATATCTGACTATAGTAAAAAAAAAATATTTTATTTTATTAACAAATAAATAATTTTACTAAAGGTTTATTAATGCAATATATGTTCTATTGAATTTTTTATTATTATTTTTTAAAAAACCTTATATTGAAGATTATATTTAAAGTACTAAAACGAGTAAGAAACGCATTAATGGCGGTGGTCATTATGAAATCAATTATTTAGTGTTACCTTCTTAGCAAACCTTTGATTCATTATTCATATCGTAAAAGAAAACTCGTTCGGAAAATTCACAGGGTTGATCTTTATATTAGGTTTAAAATTTGTAGTTTAGCTAAACATTGCCATTTTAAATTTCAGCTTAATTAATCTAAAATTTATCGGTCTAAACATAACATAGTTTGCGAATTCATTAAATGTGCGTTAAACTGAGTAGTCACGAAATAGTAATTTGAAAACTTTTATATTAAAAAAAATATCGGTTAAGTTTTGAGGTCGGTACATTGTCTCTTTCATGGAAGCTTATTTTTTTTTTAAATTATTTTGCTCTAATTAGTCGAAAATAGTGTGAAAAATAGACACTTATTATATTTGTCATCATCGTCACCAGCCTGATAATGACCCACTGCCCAGAGCTTAGGCTTTCCCTATGGTTAGAATCGAATCGAATAGGGACAAAATTGAATTATCGCTCTTAAATGGTTTCATTCAGTCAAGTAAAAGAAAACGTGAAGATAAAGTTTAAATTTTTCTTAAAAGTTTATATTTTATTTACGTTGAAACAAACAAAAACCAAGCTACTATTTAATTACATTTACGTAATTCGAAATGGCTTTGAAATGTTATAATTTTAAGCAGTCTACAAAATATGTTATTCTTTTTCTTTCCGATCATTGTGTAGTTATATATTTCGAACTGGGTCAATATTGTACCATTACGTTCAATATTGTTATAATTATAAGTCTGAAGGGCAAAAATATGAGAAAGTAAGTAACTAGGTCTTATTAATCAAAGAGAAAACAAACTGCCCAAAATGTAAAAGAAGGTTAATCAATCATAATAAAAATTGAAGGAAAACACACTTTGTTACTAAACAGTGTAGCAGTGTTTTGAATAGGAAATTAAAAAGCTTAGATAATTAGGTTTTGATCTTGAAATAAAGAAATGAGAAATAACTTTATTATGGCTATTTTATTGCTGATCAGTGGAGAATAGTTATAGATACAGTATATTTTTTTATATAAATGATATTATTAAGATCGTATTGTGAATACGATAGCATTGTAAATGAGAAGTTCGATGGCACAGTAGTTAGTGCGTTTGGTCTGCGATGTAGACGTTATGTAGCTTTTGCAAGGGTTGATCATATGATAAGTGACCAAAATTTTATTATATGGGGCTCCTTCGTACTCCGTGTACGTTTAGACTTGCGGACTGCATCTGTAATAGCTTACACCCTTCAATCCACGCTTACAAAAAATCAGCTTAAAACAGAAGTTTAAACAATACTTTATATATTTTCAGTTCACCATCTTCGCTATGCTGGCGGTGGCGTTCGCCAATCCCAAACCTGATGTGGTAACATACGCCGCTGCGCCTGGCGTACTCCCCGTAGCTTATTCTGGCTACCCCGCACCCGTGGCGTACACTGGTGGGCTCACATACGGCGCCGCTCCTGTCCCGTACGCTTATTCTGGATATTACGTGCGCTGATCAAGCAACAATTCTACAAACTGACTCCGATACGCCAAATGTTAATTAGAATATAGTTTTTGCAGCAAACCTTTTTTTGTTTCTTTCTATCAAACTTGATAATACATGTACATTGTCATACTTATGCGGAAGCTTGATATATGAATAATGCAAGAACAATTGGAACTAGATTCTTGAGTTAAAGAGAATCAAGGGCATATATACATACGTACGTATATATAAATGTATATTTATATAATCGTATCATATAGCGACCTTTCGCTAATTGACCAAGTGGTCTTATAAATGATCTAGTACGATTCTAGTAACTACGTCTTAAAATTTCTGCTAATTAGCTTTATTCTAATATATTTGTTAATTATATTTCAAAACACACTGCTCTGTCTATACATCTGTTTTTTTAAAGGTTATATAAACATTTGTCAGATGCTTCAGATAATATAATTAGACTCAATACAACAACTGCAAAGGATCTGAATCGTCTAAAAACTGTTTTTTTTTTAATAACACGCGCCTCAGAATAGTTAAAAAGTATTCAATGCTTAAAAACCCACTCTACACCGAGGTACTCTGAGATGGGACTCGAATTCACGACCTTTTACAATCCGAGCGTTGCTCTAACCACTGACCTACCCAGGACCTTACAGAACTGACGAATATTTCAAACGCTTTTTTTATTTTTTTACTACTAACAAGCGTATTTTCATTAATGTGCAGGCAATCCATCCAAACAGCCGGAAGAAATATTTTTACAAATATTTTAAACTTGTTTCTATTAAGAAGAAAATTTTTTTCAATCATTATATTATTATTAAAAAATAGTTTTATCCCAATATTTACAAATGTATTGTAGTATATTTAATATAATTGTTATGCACCAAATGACTAATTGGTTGAATTGACCAGCTATTATTTAAATGCTCGTTACTTATCGTTTTTAACGGTATTATTTTTATTTCAATAGTAAAATCAGCTTATATTTAGAATAAACAATCCTTTTGTGGATATACTTGTACTTGTAGATAGAGAAACATCAGGTTTTGATTTTTTTTTTGTTTTATATGCGTTGTAAATGGACGCTTACTATTGTTTTTGTTTTAAAACACTGTCATTATTGGGAAGTAAAGGGATACACGTCATCATACTGAATTGAAAAATTTAAGTTGTCTCTTCCCTGTGGGTACTGCGTAGATAGGTTTGTTTAAATCGAATCAACGAACCGACATTTTCTCTTGTATCTCTCGGGAAAAAGTCATGCTTGATAAATGTAGCTTTTAACAAAAGTATTTCACTGATCATTTTGATAGAAGTTTATGTATCCATATTCATCGTTAAATTTTCACCACAAAGCGTTAGTATTCCTGTATGTTTATATTTATATTATGCTATGTGGTTTAAAATCTTAATTATAGAAATTAATGAAACATACCCAGTTTTCGGGATATACGAAGGTATGTTATCTATTTGTATCAGTGAATTACGTAGGTATGTAATGTTAAATATTAAAGAGAAATAATATGCAAAATAAGTATTCTAAAATTATAAGTCTCGCTTGAATAAAAATTTAAATACTAGAAAATATAACCTTTTACTTTCCATCGTCACTATTTTCTATTTATATATCATAGTAATAATATTCATATAACATATTTATATAAAATTGCAACAAAGAATCTTCTCCAAGGGACAAAACTAACATAAAATGGCGGTCTAATTAAGGAGCACAAATATATAAAAAACAAACGTAGGCGGAACGGTAATTTATTGCAAATTAGGGTAAAGAATTTTCCATGCCAACGGTAGTAATTCCAAAAGTATATATTTAAAATGCTCAGTAGAGTTTGCTGTAAGTGATCGGTGCAGGGTACTGGTAGGCTAGGGGTGCAGAGTAGGCGATTGGTGCGCTTGGCACAGCAGCATAGCCCAGAGGTGCCTGAGGGATGTAGCCCAGCGGTGCCTTGTATGCTATAGGAGCGACAACTACGCCTGGTTCGGGTGCGGGCGCTGCGATGGCGACGGCCACGAAAACGAGGAAAGCCAACTGAAAAAAGAAGCATTGAGAACCTTTTAATGTTCATATAAATAACTAACCGTTTTCCTATGACTTTGATTTAATTATAGCCTTTGTCACCCATGTAGTCCAGTAGTTTCGGAATTGCTGAACCAAACAATCAAATCTTTCCTCTTTATAATATTAGCATAGATTTGTCACTATAAAATTGTAAATAAAGTCAATAGATATATTATAATAATTAGATAATATCACACAATTTGCTCATATCACAAATTAAGTACCTATAGCACTTGTATTTTAGAAATCTGAAACAACCAAAGAACCACAACACCCAGATACGATATAATAAAGAAAAGTTCACATTCCACGTTGATCCGACTGGGAATCGTAGCACGTCACAGATGAAAACTTGATTGAAAACGGGTTATGAGCGACTTGACTAGGGAAGTTGACAATATAATTTAAAGGTTTAGGTTAGGTTAGATTATTATAATTCTAGTAAGACTATATACTGACGATGTTTATAATTTTGCAGTGACATACCTCTATAAATTAACGAATCAGCAAGGAACTAGGACAAAGGCTTTTTTTATTTTATAAGTATTTTTGTCAAATCATTAACTCACGTTTATTTTTTCAAATCAAATATTTAATCCAGAATCAAATCCCCATTTGTTTTTACAGTGTGATTCGGTATAATGGCTATTATTTTTTAACAGAACTGTAATATGATAACAGTTCAGTACAATGACCTTTTCCACGTAGGCATTATAATATTATTTTGTTCTTGTGGAACATCCGGTTACCAATATTGGAAACTCATAAAGTGGGACGCAATTTACATAATACCCAAAGCTTTGTTTATATATCAAATCAATAGTAATAATATACTTAGAGCTTTGGATTTGAAAACTATTAATAGGAAATTATTGTATAAATTAGGCTATGCAATCAAACAACTAGGCAATGCAATCAACCATTACTAAAATTTTATCTGATTTCTTAGAGCAAGTATTTATTATTTTGTGGTTTTTTTTTTATTATTTGGGTTTGGTATTTTTGATTTGATATAAAAACGACATTAATGCTAAATTAATTTGAAAAAAAAATGTTTCTTCATTTTTCAATATCGGATAATGAATGATAGTTTTCTACGAGATTGCCACTATGTACATACATCAAACCCCATCAGGCACATCAGCAGGCTTACTCTTGAACGGAATCTCAATGTCTATCAATCAAATCCAATGACAATATCAATTTTCATAAAGTCTAAACTAGTGAAACATAGACTCGATACTCACTCATATTGAATTAGATCATTCAATAACCACGCAATATTCAGCCAATTAGCGCTATTGTGCCAAATACAGACTACGAAACGTCACAGTTGCAATGTCGATCGATCGCGATTACGTTTAAGAGTAAGCGTGCTGGTAATACCACAGAACACAGAAAAGAGGTGTGTTCTGTGTGTAGTACTCTCAAATTTCCTCACTCGATTTTAAACCTTAACACATAATCCATTGTGGAAATTTGATATATTGTGGTAGGCGACGTGCAAAAGTATGTACCATGTAGTTATCCGGTCATTGATATTTCGGCGCTGTTGCAAGCTCCATGATCATAGAGTAATTAGCTGACATTAGGACGATATTTAAAGACAGTCCATAAATACAAGACCATGAAAGTTTAAAACAAAATTATCAGATAATGAAGTTCTTGATGTTAAAATATATCAAAACTTGTGGCAAAGTTATTAGCATGACATGACATTTCAGAAGATTGACACCCACGATCGAAATGTAGATCGTTTTCTCCATAAGAATGTTCATGATATTTTACAGTTACCCAAAACTTTAAAATTTTTAAGGATTTTTAATTAAACTACTTTTGAAATTAAGTTCTGGATCAATTGTAGAGAGTTGAGATTATGTAAAACCGATTTGTGCTTTCGTTTGTCATATAAAATGTTAAAGTAATATAATCATAACAAGGAATTTCATTTGACATGATTAATTAGAGAGTAGCACTCATATATCACATCTGGTCCCATATACATATTAAATAGCTGTGATCCAAATTTAAATTTGTCTGTACAGTTTTTAAAATAAATAACTGTTATAGATGGACAGATAGACTACAGGCATATGGACAGATTGACAGAGAGACTAAGACTGATCATATAAGATTTGTATTCCTTTGTAATATGAAACATTAAAATTTAACACAAAAAAAAAGAATTTTTAAGACAGCCAGGTTCGATGCTATAAATATTAATAAAACCTCTTTGCAACTACTGTGAGTTACTTCTTGTTAAACTGATTATTATTAATCATCTATTAGGACCTGTAAATGGCTTGCTATAATTGGTATTCGACTGTATTAGGTGTTTGTTGTCCGAAAAATATGTAAATCTACCATAATAAAATGAATTCCAATCTCACCAGTTTGTACATGATGCTGGATGCGTGTACGACGAAGGGTTAGTGATGCTTTCCGAAGGACTCGCCTCCCTTTTATATTCATTCAGCGGTTGTATTGACCTTAAATGAGATTCCATACGAGATGTGGACCAGTACCGACGTTAATAAAAGGGATATAATTCCTTTTTTTTCACCTGTACAATTATGAGGACCACATTAAGCATTATGTAACAATAAAATTAAAGTCTGCTTTTTAACCATATATCTACAAATAATTATAAAATGGCTTCCGATAACGCATACTAAAGTGGTTTATAACTTAAAAAATAATATAAAGATGGATAAATGGAATATAATTTGAAATTTCATTATAATAATTAAAATTTTCTTTCCCTTGCTTTAAGGTACAATTCAATTTCTTATTAAAATTAGGAGAAATAAAGTATCGATTGTATTAAATCTTTTAGCGCTTATAATGATTTGCGCAATTTTGCATAAAGCCGTCGTTTGCGAGCGCAACCTTGAATTTGCAATGTTATCTTTACATGTGAAGAACTTGCCTAGCTCACTGGACCAGTTGAAGCATAACAGCGAGAGAAATATACAGAGCTATCACAACAATAAATAAAGTTTATTCTATTATTGTGAGTGATATATTTGTGTGGCGGATATAGGAAGAGAAATTCGAATTTTGGTTTAAATATTTTAATTCCTTTCCGTGAAATGAAATTTATGCTGTTCGCTGTTCTACGTAATTTGTTTGTATTGAAAATTGAAATTCTATATTGAATAAGTACGTAAAAGCAATTATTATGGTAACTTTCACACTTCTTTTAATTTAATAACCTGTTTTAAAAAGTGTAGCATTTTTTTTTTAATCTGATAATATATTCGTATATTTTTAATGACACCTAACTTGATTTACAGTGTCAAATTATAACGTAGCGTAAGAAATTAAATTGGTATTTTTGATGAAACGGACTTAGTATTTCAATTTTATATCATTTTAAAAAATAAGTTATTTACGCTTATCTGAAATTGTATTTCAAATATAAACAAATAGAATGGATTTCATGAGCTTTTAGCGTGTGGAAACTTTTCGTAATAAAAACTCTTCGATATCCAAACTCTAGTTGCGGTTAAAACAGCTCTTCATGAATATGTAATAATATTAACGCATTGATGTTTTAATCTTTGCAAAAGAAAATCGAAACCAGAATTTGGATTAATAAACGCAAAATGTAGATCTATATTTGCGACATTTTGTGGCATAGTGATGTTCTTTTAAATTAACAGATATTTTTGATACTATTTTGTATAAGTTAAATTATTAATCTTAGAAATTACTTTGTTCCTTATGTTTTGAATGGCTTTGGCCAATGCATGATTGAATAATAATTTTGGATCCATGTAATGGATTCAATTTTGAATTTCCAAAATACAAAGATCCGATTTATTTAAACCTGCAATTCAATTTTTTTATAGAATTAGGAGAAAAAAAAGTGGATATTTGTATTAAAGTTTATATAATGGCATACACAAATTATTTTTTTCCTTATGAATAGTCAGAATTCACCAGAAGAAACCATATTTATTCTATAATATTTTGTAATATCATTTCAAAAATATATATTATACTCGTAGAAAAGTGCAATCGCTTTAATTCTTTAGGTTCTTTCATCATAACAATTCAATTTATAACAGAAATCAAAACTATTGCCGATAAAAGTAATCAGCGGCATAAGCGTACGGTAGACTGTATGTCAATGACGCTGGTGCAGGATTTACAACAGGCAAATAATCTTGGATGCTATAACTTGAGCCGTAGGAGTACGCCGACACTGAAGAAATGGGGACAGCGGGGTAGGTAGCTGGTGCCGTTGCAGGGACGGCGGGAACGGTAGATACAGCAGGTGCGACTACTTGGGCAGGAGCAGCAACCACTGAAGTAGGAGCAGCAACTACTGAAGCAGGCGCAGCAACTAACGAGGCAGGTGCACCCACGTATGCGGCCGATGTGTACGGAGATGCCAACAGTGGTGCATTTACGAGAAATTGAGGTGCAGCTTCAATTTCTATCATTATCATAGATAAGCTTATCTGAAAGTTCAATAAGTATTATAATATAAATATATAGCAATAGCAATCTGCGACAGTCCATATGCACTGTTGTAAAATGTACATTCGAAAGAGTAGTATTGTTGTTGATGACATGCTTGAGAAAATATTTGGTCTATATTTAGTGTACATGCTGGTCGTCAATAATCACCAATAATTAATAAACTAATATAACTATTCTGTAATAAAAACACACCTCAGAAGGTAATGATAAAGGTTTTATTTCAATGGTTCTCTATGTTATAACAGATCTGAGCTCTTAGCTTATTTTTTTAACAGACTTGAAATCGAACCCGAGCCCTCTTAAGATATACTTTGACACGAAATATATAATCGAATTGAACAAGTAAGTGTACATATTTGTAACATGTGACGATTTTGAAAACAACACGGAAATATTGAATTTGTAATTTGTTATGTACTTTATTTTGGAAATAAATCGATGAAACACTTTAGAAATGTTAGAAATAAAATTTTTGTTTTTTGAATTTCTCTTACAATTAATTATTTAACGTATTCCATTTTTTCATTATCTGACTGACATGAACATTCTAACAAAAATATTTTTTGTTGATAAAAAGCGATGCGGGTAAAGCTTTTTTATATTAATCAGAATTAACATATACATTACCTAATAAAATAAATGCCACGATATTGAGATCACTAGAAAATGGACTATTTATTTGATAATATCATTTGCATTTTTAATGAAATATTAAAATTATGGTATTAGTTTTATAGTCCAATCAGAATAGACAAAAAAAAAACCTTTATGTTACGCAAGCTGAAAATTGGTATCGACGTTTAATAAACCATTACTAATGAAATGTCGAAATCCCCATCGGTCCAAAAAATTATCCAAAGACAAAGGTAGAAATCCAAGATTTTCCCAATTTTCTCTGAAACCATAAATATTATAGTAAAAATAGATTAGACAAAAGTTGAAGATCATACAATTCTCTAAAAAAAATATTGTTATACTTAGTTGCACGAACCACCATTCGCGCTTTTAACGGTTGAAAAATTTATGTACAACCTGTATGTAGTGCTTTGAATACTTGCAAGATAAGCAATCTGCGACAGTCCATATGCACTGTTGTAAAACGTACATTCGAAAGAGTAGTATTGTTGCAGCTAAAAGACAGCGCGAGACAGAAAAAGGCAGTACATTAACAACAAGTCCACTTCATACTAGAGCACGAATAAGTTAAAAATATATTGCTTATTTTTCGATGATAAAGCAAATGAACAAGCTGCAAATAAGAAAGTTCAAGTATGGCTAGACATTGAACTAGACCCAGAAGAATGGCGTTGGAAATTAGGAGAAGTTTTTTTGGAGATAATTCAAACCTTACTCCAGCCTACTCCAGAAAAACTGCTTAATACTATTTTTTGAGCTTCGAGACGGATTGTAGTAAGAACTGTGAAGTAAAGAAAATAATTGTTGAAATGGATTTAGAAAATTATCTAACATAATAATATTTCCAAGAAATAAACCTGTTCCACTTTGAACATTAACAATAGTTAATTTTATCAATCAGCAGGATACGATTTGTATACTGATCAAACTTTTTTCATTACACTAGATCGTGGAATATACCTTCTGGAGAAACCACGTTAAAAAATGCGCCAGGTAATTACCTCATACGTGCGAAATATGTGCATGTTACGAAGAATATGAATTTTTCACCTTTTAAAATCGCGATATCTCACGAATGGTGATTCGTACAAAAAAGAATTAGAACAATTTTTGTAGATAATTGTTCGATTTACAACTTTTGTCTTACCTATTTTACTTGGTTTATAAAACATCTAAACCAATGTTCAGCTCTGTGCGAATTTTAATTTTAATTTGACTGGACTATTTTTAGTATTATTCATATACGATATAGTTTAATCGTGATTTTGGCGAAATTTGCTATTTGATAAATACGAACATTGTTCTATATATGAAAATCTGTGATGAAATAATTTGTAACTACATAGTTATTTGTAAAACATCAGCCAACTCTAATTAATTATTTATGTTGTTACTTATGGGTCATTTACACTGGTATACGAGATCAGCTCACGGAGTGAGTATGGCCTCTTGGGCTCATCCCATTGTACAATAAAACAGTTATCGACTGATGAAAGGAAGCCACAGAATTAGCTCGCAACCGGATGTTTCGACCTGTGTGACTGAATCATTATGATGTCAGTTATCTATACAAATTTAAAGGAATGTTGGTATTTTATAAATTTATTTGAAAACGTATTATACATTTTCAGCAAGACTTCAAAATCTTTTTGTAATTTAATATCCTTATCATTTTCATTAATGTTTTTAATGAAAACAAATATACTTACCAAAAGTATTTTCCACATTTTAAAATGTTTTTCGTAATCACCACTCGTTTCTAAGATATGTTTGAGATGCACTACCTGTCAAACATCGTAACATACCTTTTATATTTGTCCCACTTCAAATTAGTAACAAAACATTGTGAAAAAAATCAATTCTCTGAATAGTGTGGCCAAGGTTTTGTTGAATAGTTGCGGTGAAAACAAAAGAATGTATAATAGCAACAGAACGACGACGTGTGCGACAAAATTTGTCGTTTAGAGATCCTTAGTTCTTTTTATTAAAATCATAACTAGACTGTCTGGTTAACTGGTTGTAATAATAAATTGAAAAATAAAATTTATTTATTTCCTATACTTCAAACACAATTCTTTTATAGCACATAGTCTAAATTAGGTGACCTTATTATATGAAATCATTTGCTTTCACATCTCGAAATTTTTAGACATTGTATGTAACAACAAAATTAAATTGGAAATACACATCAACACAGTACATTCTAAGGTAAGTGAGTGAGTTATGTTAGTTCGAGCTTTTCTAGACTTCGGAAGGCACGCTAAGCAGTTGGTTCCAGCTGAATCTAGAGTCGTACCACAGTGCTGCTACCTTACTACTAGGTGTTTAGGTGGCATTATGTTATGTAAAGTTAATGAATTGGAAAAGTACCAGTGACGCTGATGTCTTGCGATATTGTTATAATTATATTTTGGAGTATTCATCGCTCGGTGGCGTAATAGATAACCGCCACGGCTCGCTATTATTGTGGTTAAGCATCTTTCGCAAGAGTCGGTCATAGGATGGATTATTATCTCGAGCTATTGCGTGCTTCGGAAGGAACGTTAAGCCATTGCTCCCGGATGTTTTTATTGTCGTTAATGCTCTCCAACCCGTACTGGGCCAGCGTGGAGGGTTATGCCATGGCTCATTCTCTTTATCTATCCATAAGAAAGGTCTGAGAATTGGGGACGAAAAAGGGCTGATGATGTTGGTGACATTTATATAGACTAACGTATTTATCTTCCGATAAGAAAATTTTATCGAACCGAACACCTAACAATATGTTAACAAAGCAATATTCATATTTTTTTACTCACTGAACCTAAACTTTTTTCCTATTTGCGCTTTTGAATATCTTTCTATTGACCTTGTCTTTTTCTCGAAAAATATTTAATTACTAGCGTAACCAGGAAGTAAAAGACCGTAAAAATCTGCGACATTCAATTTTAGTTAGAGAGTTGAATTTCTCAAGCAGTTTTTACTTTCACTCGTATTAATGAGTGCTTTTTTCAATTCAATATTTAGTTGAGTAACCTAGACAACGGAGAGAAATATTTTTATATTCGATTAAGTTTAAAAAAGACTTACCTTAGATTATGTGGTCTTAAGTTGATTAAATGACTCCCTCATTTATATACTTATGTCCATTGTGTTCCAGTATTATAGTAAATATTACTTTAAAATAAAGGCTTAATTGTTTATTTTTGTCATAAAATATTCCAGAATTTACATGGGTTTGTTTACAGCGAGAATTTGCAATAATTTTCGTGTTACAGGCATCGACAGATAAATGTGTATCAGTTTAATTTTGCTCTTATTTTTAAACCGTTGACCATGACATGATAAGGTTGTTATAAACAACATACGATATAGGATTGTATGGTATATGAATTATACATGCCTTGACGAGAAGTCGAAGCACTACTGAAAGTTTACTGTGTATATTATTGTGTATAGTACACAACATTTTCTTAACATCAATAACTGTAGAATTTAGTCTGTTAGTCTCAAGGACTGCACCTACGATAACACACAGAATAACTTCTAAAGCTTTTGATGATAATAATTTCGGACTTTTGGCATATATTGAAACAACAACATTGGTGTATTTCAGTTACGTTCATGGTACAATGGCGTATGTTGTGTATATACTAATAGTTATTATAAAGAGGAAATATAATATTTTATTATACGTTTGCATTGAATTGGGTCCTGATTGCACCGATTTTGAAAATTCTTTTACCAAATTATGCTATAATTTACACAGGTAAATATATTTTTATATGAGATGCGAGAACAGTACGTACCATATTACAATACGTTCAACCTTGAATGGTTTTATTATATAATTATATTAAAAAAATACTGAATATGTTGGTACGCTCCATTACGAGAATAATTTCATCAGATACAGTTTCTTTTAAATTATACATTTCAGTTTAAATAATAAATCGATTATATGTTCATCGTTGACTTGTAAATAGGCCTATGCCCAGCAGTGGGCGTCTCTCGGTTGATATGATGATGATGATGACTTGTAAATGATAATAAAAACAGAATAATTATTGCATTATATTTATTGATGATAAAGCATTTTTAATTAATCATTTTTTGGTGATATTGATCCTCTTTTTATTTTTTTTTCAAGGCAAAAGGATATGTAGAATATACTACTGGAGTGGAGTATGCAGAGTAAGCGGAATATACTGGAGAAGAGTACGTTGCAACCGGAGAGTACGATACTGGTACAGAGTATGTAACTACTGATGGCTGGGCGTAGGTCACGGCAGGCTTAGAGTATGTTACTTCTGGCTGAGTATATACAACTTGTTTAGGGTATGCGACGGCAGGTTGCTGGTAAACTACGGGTTTGGGATAAGTGACGATCGGCTGTGAATAGACGGCTGGTTTTGTGTAGCTGTAACCAGGCGATGAGTAAGCTTCTGCTGTAGTTTTGATAGCAGTCACGGTGGGGTTAGAGACGGTAACCACAGCTGGCTCTGTGTAGGACGCTGATGCGACCGCGTTGTAAACGCTGGGGTTATAAGGCTTGGCTGTTGCCAGCCCAATGACGACGGCAATAAAAAACTGAAATTTAAGATAAGAACGTTATAATTTAATGACCTTCGTAGGTGAATGACTCGCACACACTTCGAGGTCCCGGCTTCGGTTATTGTTGAAACTTATTAATTTCACACTAATAACAACTGTTTTTTTTATTGGATTATTAAAATGTATTTTGTCATAAATGTTCTCGCTTGTACGTTAGATTTCTAAAATAGACTACATTTCTAAAACCGCTATAAGCCTTAATCTGTTAATTTACTATAATCACTTGGCATTTCAAGACCAGATGTGCTAATGAGTGTACGTTGGCTAATATTTATAAATAAATAAATTTAATAATTTTATGTAAGCATAATACAATATTTTACTTTCAGTTACAATTACAGGATATTTTACGGTTATTAGATTTCTTTACTTGTACTTTATTAGAGTATTTTGAAGTAAAATAAAAATACTTTATTAAGATACACTTTTTTGTGTAAAATATACCCAGAGTGTAAATGTTCACATAGCTAATAATTAAAAACAAATGAAAAACAAACAAATGACAGGTCTTCTGGTTTTCCTCGTACATTACGCCACAAAGAAGGATATCGCTGAAATTTAGTGGGTATGCCCCTGCTATATGACTAGTCCCATGCTGGATAGGGACTGCAGGGGAGAGTCCTACATAACCCGATGACCCCGCGCTGGGGGGAATCGGGTAAACATATTTCTCAGCGTCAAAAAAGGACCTCTTCTGGCTTGAAGCCCAAGTGTCCTTACAAAAATCGTAGGTGTGAAAGTGAAAGACGTTACGTAGGTGTTTCTAAAGCTGGATATTTCAGTATGTTCAAGTACTAAGGGAATAGATTACTAAGTACCCAGTTCGGAGGTGGACCAATAAACTTCTATCGATTTCTGAATGTGTTTGTTCCATTAAAGAAAGTCTTAATAGTTTTTTTTTATGAACTAAATAGTACTAATTTAGTAATAAATCAACTTTCAACCATTACGAAACTATCGGAGCTTCACACCATCTTCTGAGATCTGCTGAGTTCACCACGTTTCATGATTGTGCAATCTGATCGGTTTAAATTACTTTTTTAATTAAGAACAAGTTTTTAGTTAATTTCAAAATATTAAAAAGAACATTTAAAGAAAACTCATAGGTTACTTTATATTGCCCCGCTGATACTAAGTGTTCTAGCACCTGTACTCCGTTTTGAATACTGGGTGATGTATACCCTTAATACTTCAGCATACTGAAATATCAAGCTTTAGACAGATTTGCAAATTATTTCACAGCAATTTACCAATCTGTGTAACATTTCTTTAAATTATTTTATCGTTTTCTCTTTTTCAGATATTATAACACAACCTGCGTACTTTACTGCACATGACTATATTAGAAGGTAAAAAGGTTACATGATATTGAAAATATTAAAAAAATACAGCTTACCAATTTGTACATTTTGGAAGATTGTTTTCGATTGCTTCTTATCGAATGAATGATAGCATGCTCATCTTCAGTAGCAGTTATATATGATTCCTAAAACCGGACCTCTTCCTTAGCTATGCAGATGTGCATTATTAGAAAATCAACGCCTTATCACTATCAGAATAAGGTCTACATTTACCGCGGTACAATGGGCCCAGAAATGTATCAAACGAAAAAATGTCTCGATTATGTCATAATATTTTATCATCAAGGTTAATTTTGTAATATTTAGTTTTTATCTGATCATTTTAAGAATATTTTTCGTCGATTGGTTTTTTTATTAGTTATTATGCCGAATGACAATCGGATAAGCAAGAACTAGGACAATTACCCTGGTATAAATTTGGCCAACATTTATCGGATCAAAATGCTACTTACCTTATCCTTAATCAATATTCTAGAAAGAAATGTGTACTTTGAAAATATTCGTACAAGTGAAACTATTTGAAAATACATTCCGTAACACGAGCACCCACTGTAGGTAATGTACAATAAACAACAATTACATTTTGTATGCTAAAATTGATTTATTTTCGGAAATTGACGTTGACAAAATATATTGTTCATTTCTTGTAGTAATAAGCGAAAGGGGAGCTGTAAGCTGAATACGCCACTGGTTGATAAGAATAAGGAACTGAGTACGCCACTGGATTGTATGCAGGGTACACGACGGACGAAGAATAGGCGACAGGTGAAGAATAAGCTACAGGTGAAGTATAGGCGACAGGTGACACGGAGTAGACGCTGGGCTTGGCTGCAGCTAGTCCCAGGACCGCCAAGATGGCTACAATCTGAAAAATATAAATTATTAAAGTATATTTATTTTTGACTAATTTTCATACACTTCTTATTCTTTTATTGTTCTGTATAAATTAACACTTTATAAAAACTGGGTTTAAATGAATATTTATAGATTTATCTGTACTATATTATAATTACTGGTTTTGAATAAATTACAATATTTTAAGAATTTTTTAAACAACTGAGCTAAATTTCTGCAATCAATTATGAACGTAACTATCAAAAGACTGAATCTTAAAATTATTTGTAAAAACATTAGGCCATTTGTAGTAAAGTAAGAAAGGAGTTAGGCAAGGCTGTGTATTATCTCCAATTCTCTTTAATATATATGGAGAATACATAATGAGGCGAGCCTTGGAGGACTGGAAGGGTGGGATATCCATTGGCGGGGTAAAAATCACGAACTTGCGGTATGCTGATGACATCACACTTTTTGCGGCCAGTGAGTGCAAAATGTCTGACCCGCTGGAAAGATTGGAATTTTTGGATTGGATTGGTTTGTATTGATGGATTGGATTGGAAATAAAGCAAAGACAAAAGTTATGGTAATAGATCGCAGCAGTTCCCTTGCCTTGACCAACTTACTGAACTTTGAGGTTGTGTCAGATTTCATCTATCTGGGTTCTATTATAGCGAACGATAGGTCGTGTGAGAAAGACGTAAGAAGACGAATCGGTATGGCTAAGAGCGCCATGTCACAGTTGGAAAAAGCATGGGCTGATAGGAGCATCTCTCGAAAAACAAAGAAAAGACTCGTCAATACTATTGTTTTTCTCAATTTTTTGTGGGCTAAAACCTGGACCCTCAAAAAATGTCTACGTATTGACACATTTGAGATGTGATGTTGGAGAAAGATGCTCAGAATTCACTGGACAGAGCATAGGATGAACGCATCTGTTCTGGTCGAAGTAAAGATAAAAATGAGATTATCCACCACTTGTCTACGGAAAAGTTTCGAATTCTTTGGTCACATCGCTAGAAAAGGAGGCGATAGTCTCGAAAAAACTTTAATGACGGGGAGAATAGATGGACAAAGACCACGAGGAAGAAGTCTTCTACGTTGGTGTGATCAAATCCGCACTACACTCAACACCACAGTCGGTGAGGCCATCCATATCGCCGAAGATAGGGCAAGATGTCCAACAGAGAATAATTCCACGAGGTCATGACCCTCAGCATTGAGGATGAACGACGCAAGGAGGAGTAAAGTATTGCAATATATTATTAAAGAAAAGTAACCGAATCTGGAATATAAACCCTCAAATGGAATATCAAAATCAAACTTTCTTAAACTCTTCCTCAAGGAGATGAATTCGTAAATTGTCAATAAGTACACGAAATTCACGGTCGGTTTATAGATTCGCAATGATTATTACAAAAATGTATTATAATCTATAAAGAATAGATTTAGCTAAGACGTCCTGAACTAGTGGTTGCGGAAAAATTAATACAAATAATTGATGTTTGATACAAGCTTACTTATTTGATATTACATATTTTACTCGATGTCAACCTTCTAGAAGTGTTTATAACAGTTCAAGAGACTAGATTAAATGCATGATAATTGGTTTAGTTATCCACAGTTATACGAAAAACAATGTACGTATGGCCAAATTTAATTACTAGGTCTGCCGGAAAGTAATAGCTTTTACTGCTAGGCAATTTGATGTGTAACTAATGCTTCAGGGTGGTAAGTCGGCAAAATGCGATAGGTCCCCAGCCGTAAGAAGGTAGTTATTATTACACATTTAGTTAACTGCTTCCTTTTATTGGGTTTGCATATGATGATTAGGTACGGGCCTCAAACGTATAGTTATGCCACTGAATGTTTACAAAATTTTGAAGAATATCTAGTTTCTTTTCATTAATTAATTAAAACTATTTAATTTTTTTCTCGTTCTATAGTTATATTAATTTTAACAATTATATACATATTAGCTTTCAAAAATTTCATAATTATACACAATAGCGATAATTACTTTTATCAATTATTCTAATAAGAACATAAAAGAAATAAAATGTAGTTGAATATTACAGGTAACTTTGTAAGTACTTTGTTTTATCGAGAGAGGTTATTGACCCTTCACATATAATTTGTAATTTTCTCTTCATTGTACTTGTTTAGAATTAATTTTTTTGATCACAAGTTTCAAATTAGTAATTCCGATTAGGTGCTATCTTAGGAGTAATATTTCCCTGGTTTTTTTTTTCTAATGTATGAGCATTGTTTCACTCAAGATTAATGTTATTATCTTTATAGAAAACAAAATGTACTCTGTAATGATTTTTATTGAATGTTATTTCTCCGTCAATAGTTTTTCCCGTGTGGTGTACACGATGACTTTGGTACTTATATCCTTAGAGAGCTAATTAGTGGGATAAAACATTGCGAAATAATTCAAGCTTAAAATTACTCGTATACCTACTGAATTTCACCAAAACCTTTTTTTTTTTTACTTTTATAATATTAGTAAGATAAAACACTTACCAATTTGTACATGATGAGATTATTTGAAGATGTTTTTGAACGAACTAATGTTGAATGATGACAAAAAGGATAATTGTTCGCAATTTATATATCTTTTAGAAACCGGAATGTTCGATATTATTGGTAATGAAAATTACTAATGTCAATTATAAAATTGAACTTTAGGTAATCATTTTTAAGATTCAATATACAATTATAATATACTTTAACAAATGTAACGATTCCTTAAATAGTGTATGATGTATAAAAATTTCAAGGCTAATTGGCAAAAATGTGTAATATTTATTACTTTATAGTTGGTCAATGCACACATAAATAATAAAAGTTGCTATAGGTTTTATATTACTTTAATTTAACATTAGATTGGGGATATTAATGTCGGATGAAGAATAATAAAATTATAATAAAAATGTACTCAATCAAGAAAATAGAATAAAAACTCATGACCATAGTGGTTATAGAGTTTACTCTAACGTTAGAGCATGCGGAGTTTGTGTAGCTTTTTCAATAAACCAAACATTATAAAGAAAATTTCTTGTTCTTCATTGCTGTTCTTTTCTTTATTGAAGGACTTGTTCCTGATGAAAATACTTCATCAGAGCGACCGCCTACCTTCTCCAGCTCTAGGGTACGACATCTAAGTGATTAAAAAGCAATGTAATTAAATTTTACTTCTTTAACATGTACTTTGAAAACGGCGAATGAATGATAAAGATTGATGAATATGGATTTGATAGCAGTGTTAACAAGTTAGTCATTTATTCCAAATTTATCAACCAAAAGATATGTAATTGAATGCCACCATAAGGTCGTAATAATGTCGTATCTTATGGGTAGAGGATTAGGCGGACGGACCCCAGGTCTTTTATGACTTTCCTCCATTCCTCTCGATGTTCAGTTTTACGTAGGGCAGTTCTGCTAATTTAACGTAATTATGCAAAGCCAATAGCGCTTCAAGTACTACTCTTTATGACACAGTTCGTGTTACTAGATCAAAAGATAATAAATATATCTATCAATAATAAATGTATTCATAAATATCTGTCACCATTGATTTGTGATGAAGATATTGCACTAATAATGTTGGACTTCAGGCTCAGTGAACGATCACAGGATCTTTTCCATCAACTTTGCTTATCACAATCAACTTGTTAAGGTTATCCAATTGACGACATGAAATGTGATCAAAATAACCAATAAATTCTTTAAAAGCATAGGAAACTATGTATTAACAAATAGGTGCGTCTTGTGATGTTAATTTGTGATTAAATATGAGTAAACTA